AAACAGCAGCAGCAGATCTTTACAGCTGTCAGGGGGATGGGGTGATGTCGTTCAGCTCATAAAGAATGATATGAGTGAGCAAGGCTACCTCAGCTACAGCTCTGAGGATGATCTCTTTGAACCGGTCTATAGACTTGAAAAGATACTGCGAAAAAAGAAGCAGGTCTCGGAAACACGGTTAAATCGCAACAGCAGTGTCAAGGAGGATTGTAGGAGATTAAGGCAAGGAGACTGTTGTAGTCGTACGGAAAGTTTTAGCGAAAGACGTGTTCATTTCCTGGATGAACGAAGGCGTACTAACAGTTATCTAGAACCTACGAATGTCAGTTCTAGACCCTATGAAAATGGTATTAGTCACAGTAGGGAAAGAGTTCATTGTTCAACCGGGTTAATAAGAGATGATCACACACGCCTTACTCAATCTCTTCAACATCAACCTCAGGGTTTTCGACGAAACATTTCGATGCGACGTAGCTATCATGGTAACATAAGGCGGACATCCGTCCGTGAAGGAAGCAGAACATGCAGCATAGATGATTCTAACTTGAGTAGAGCAAGACCCACAAATAATGGACCCTTACTGCAACCTAGAGCGCCACAATCTGTGCAAGTGGAGGATCGCTTGAGGGATACGTCGAGGTGGGAGATGGTGAAGAGTGGAAACTCACGGCAGAGAGCTTTATCATTAACAGAGGCTGAAAGAAGGATAGACAGGGACCACAGGCATGGTGAGCGTAGAGTTAGACGAATTCAAAGCGAGCGCTGGCAGACTGTCGAGGAAGAGAGATCGAGCTCAGAGGAAGAGTTGGAAAGGGAGAGCAGGAGGAAGGAGAGATGGAATCAAAGACCGCAGTCTTGCAGTGGCCGTTCTCCTGGAGCAGGTAACCCCTCTCTGAGCTGAGTGTGGCTGAGTTTGTCTCTGCATCTACTCAATGCTTTCCAATCATTCCCAATCAGTGGAAAAGAACTTCTGTGAGCTTCTATTGTACATTTTGGGAATAGGATCCATTTTTTGTGTGTGTGAGATCTGATTTTTCCCCTTCAAGTGAAACTATATCTCTGTGTTTCTCAAACCATGCAAAAAATCATCTGCTTCTGTTTGTCTTGCAGCAGCATCACTTTGTTTTCTCCTCTGTGTTCTTTGGGGTTTATTTTTTGTTGCTTAATCTATCAAGTAGGATTCCTAGTGTTTACTTACCGTTAACATTTGATTGTCCTGAACAAGATGTCTAATTCTCTTTCAGGGGTCCATTTTCCAGCAGAGTTTAGCTTTAACCAGAAATTGGCGAAAATGTAGATAGACTGAACACAGCCCAGAGGCTTGTTGTGGCCCATGGTGAAATCCGGGAGTTAAGTACTGAACAAGATTACTACCAAGGGCCAACCAAACACCAACATTTTACTGACAGAAAACCGATACATGTTCATGCAGCCCATAACCCCTTGTTATGCCTCAGCTGATCATGGTGTTCAGGGGTACTGTAGTTACTCTGCACGAAAGTGGTCCTTCAAGAACAAGAATGGCATCCCTTATTTCAGTCAAACTGGGTAAAGTTGGTGGTGGTCTGATAACCCTGTCTTACCTCAGCATGACTTTTTTGTGATTCTGCTATTATTCCTTAACAGGGCCTGCTTTTAGGAGTGGAACAACTGCTCTTGACTTGGTAGAACTGGAGCAGGTGTTAAGGGATGAGGAGCTGGCTCGCAGACTTCAGGAAGAGGAGGAGAGATTGGTCGCAGAGGTGAGCTAAATGCAAACTTATGCCAAATCTACGCCAGTGGTCTTTTTAAACTTCCTGATATCAGGGCGTACTCACACTATGTACAGTTGCCTTGAATCGGGCCAAAGCACGCTTGTCCCCTCTCCTGTCTCCCCCGAAGGCCCACACTTGCATTACATTCGGGCCTGGGCACGCTCACGCCATCGATGATGCGCTGTTCAGTGAAGCACTCTCACTCAGCACAGTGGAGATTTGATATGCAGTGACACGCAGCCAAATATTTCACTGAACAGATCAGCCACTTTTGACGCTCATAAACAATCATAAAGTTCTTGTGCTGCAGGAATTAGGGGGTTTGCTGAAGTGCAGCTGTCGTGCAGTGAGGGGTTTGCGTATTTAATAAACTATGTAAGTTTGCTTTCATTAAACAGTAAGAATGATTATTAAATCCACATGAAACAATCTCTTAAAAGTCACGTCCTGCTTTAGGTTTCGGGCTTAGGCACGTTTTGTACTCACACACAAGCTTACCACACCAAAGCCCAAGTGAACTGCGCTCAGGCACACCTCTTTGAACCATGCGAACCAAGTGAACCATGCCTGAGCCCAATTCAGAGCACTCACACTTCTCAAACGATCTGGGAAACGGGCCTGGGCATAGTTCAGATAGCATAGTGTGAGTAGGCCCTCAGTCTGGCTGAAAAGCAAGATCTAACTTGAGACCTTAAATTACTATATTTGACCTATGTAAAATGCAATAGTTAAGGCTACTTTAAGATTTTAAATTGAGACAATCCATGCACCTGGTGACAATGCATAGTGACAGTAGCAGTAATCACCGCCACTGTAAAAACAAAAATAAATAAAAGATTGTCAATTCAAAATTATATAAAAAGGCAATCATAATAACAATTAATAATAATAACAATCAATAATTCCTTAATTAACATTTACATACGCTTTTCTGGACACTCAAAACGCTTCACACTTTTTTGGTGGGTATCTCCTGGACCATCCACCTGGATGATATGACTTCAGCCATATTGTGCCAGACCACACGCCAACTGATTGGCAAAGAGGACACAGAGTGATGAAGCCAATTATGATATGGGAATGGTTAGGAGGTTATGATGGACAGAGGCCAGTAGGCAAATTTGGCCAGGATGCCAGGGCAAAACCCCTACTTTTTTTCAAAGGACATCCTGGATTTTTTGACGACCACAGAGTCAGGACCTCAGTTTAATGTCTCATTCGAAAGACGGCGCTCACCGAGCAGTATAGAGTCCCCATGAATATACTGGGGTGGAAGGACCCAGATAGACCACAGGTTAAGCGCCTCCTGCTGGTCTCACTAGCACCGCTTCCGCCAGCAACCTAGCTTTCCCATGTGGTCTCCCATCCAGGTACTGACCAGGCGCAGCCCTGCTTAGCTTGAGTGGGTGACAGTGTATGAGTTGCAGAGAGCTAGCTGCCGGCACCAATATATAAAACTGATATATAAAATAAATAAATAAATAATATAAAATATTTTCATTTGTGTTCCATGCTTGAGCAAGACAGCTGACTCAGTGGTTCATAAAACACAACAAGTAATTTGATCAATAGGTTGGCGACCACTCCTCTATGCAATATAGGTATATAACAAGTCCTGCTCCTTGAAGGATTCAAATTGTTCCTCATTGTCCTTTTGAATTTAACACTATCACACCTGCCTATTTTTAGGAACTCATTTATGTTTGATTAGTACTCTGGTGGCATTCCAGAAGTGTATATACTGTCATACCAACAACCCCAGTGACATCTGTTTAGTGTCCCTATCCATAACAGTAATAAAATGTAACTAAAAGTGAACTGTATATGCTGACATGTATAATTTACTTCTGTCATAGGCTCAGCATCTTTCCTCACCTCTCACCTCTAGAGATTGTCCGGTTGGAGACTTTAGAGCGGCACAGGTTGCTCAGGATGAGGTGAGTAGACTTTAAATGCGAGTAGGTTTTCACATCACATGGATGGGTAATTAATTTCTTGTTTTGTGGCAGGAAATTGCACGTTTCATGCAGAAACAGGAGATAAAAGTTAAGCGGAGTTCCCGTGAGTTGGAATCTGCTGGGCAGGAATGCAGGGAGATTGAAAGAAGAGCAACATGTGACAGACAGGTCAGACACATTTATTTAGATCTTTCACTTACTTAGCCTATCCTAACCTTTTACCAGTGGTGTAAAGTAACAAATTATAAATACGTAAATTCCTGTAAATGAGTAGTTTTTCTCAGGAATTGTAATTTACCAAGTAGTTTTAAAAATGTGTACTTTTACCTTCCCTTGTGTACATTTTAAGTGCTGTATTGGTACTTTTACTCCATTATTTTCCTTCAACCTGCAGTCAACTTTTTTTTTTTGTCTATGGCGATTGGCTAAAGTAAAACAATCAGTACTGTGATTCCTGTTCAATCAAATCGCACATAGAAACTAAACTGCACCATACTGAACTACCTCAAGACATGGGTGCTATATAAATGCAGCTAACAATTTGAATACATTAAAAGTGTCCAAGGTTATGTCAAAAATTGTCACACGCAATGCCCCAGTGACTGTTTAAACTAGATGATGGATGTATAATGTCTGAAATGGCCTTAAACAATCACTAAATGCACTACAGAATGTTGCGTTTTCACACGCATATATGCACAAATTGCATGTAAAAGCATTCGACTTTTAGATTATAAATACTCACTACTCACAACTCAGTACTTTTAAAAGCACTACTTTTACTCATACTTTGAGTAATATTTACAACAGACACTTTACTCCACTTAAACTACAATTTTTTGAGAAAGTAATGTCACTTTTACTTGAGTATGATTTTTCAGTACTCTTTCCACCACTGTTTGCCTTTTACCCATTACTATCCAAACCAGAATTTCAAGCACTGATTGATTGTATCAAATGCTCTTCTGCGCAATTGCCTTGTTCGTGCATGTTCTAGCAAGCCATTTTTGATATCGATGCTGATAGATTGGTTCCAAACTTTTTTTTAACAGATGCATTCCCATGAAACAATCCATGTGATTCATCATTATTGCTACGTGTTCGTTGGAAATATTTCTTTTAGAGGTTATTCATACTAACTCAAGCACCACATTCTAAAATGTGTCTCTGTCTGTTGGAATGAAGTAAATCAGCTTTTAGAATTATTTTAGTTGTAATAAAAAAAAAACTGTCACACTTTATTTTGATGGTCTTTTTGTTGTATTTAAGTTTCATTGCATCTACATGCCAACTAATTCTCATTAGATTATAAGTAGACTGTTGGGATGGGATTAGGGTTAGTGTTAAATTGACATGTAAGTTGACATTTACTTGCAAAATTTCTTATAGTTAGTTAAATGTCTGTTGAAGAAGCAGTATCAATAGATTTTAAGCAGACAGTCAACTAATACTTAAAGGACCATCAAAATAAAGTGTTACCTAAAAAAACTGTTTATTTATATATATATATATATATATATATATATATATATATATATATATATATATATATATATATATATATATATATTAACAGTTTTTTTTAGATTATATAGTTTATATATATATATATATATATATATATATTGAATTACTAAATATGCTGTTTGATATAAAGAGGCGGAGACTGGATTCTGAAGGTCTTCGATCCCCGGTTGATGACTTCAGCCCAGACCATCCAGGTCAAATGTCTACACCAGTGTAAGTCACTGATTTTTCTAATTCCGAGTTCAGACTGCACGATTTTAGCCCTGATTTTTGACTTGCCGACAGGTTCTAAGAAATCACAGGCCAATCGGTGCTCATCTACATAAGTAACAATCACACAGTGTAAACTATCGAAGCCGTGATCTGAAAGAATTTCAGATGAGTCGCTAACACCCATCATAAATTTCGCATGGTAATTATCTAGACCTGTCAGCGATTCAAATCATGCTGTGTGAAATGTGTTCTTAGAGAAAATAACATCGGCGATTACCTACAGCCAATAAGAGAGCAGCATCCACTAGTATGGGTATCTGCAGTCCAGTGGGAGGATGGGGGAGAAGTTAAAAGGGCTTTCTTGGTCTATTTCAACCCCAGAAATGGAGGAAAAACTGGTGTAAATTTGGCAGGGGCACCTGTGTCTATTTGACATGTCAGCTAAGCAACATCACAACCAGGTCGAAAAAGAATAAAGCCGACGCGAATTGCCTTCAAATGCCAGGTGAGCAAAATAAGTAATATTTTACACCACTAAAGGCTTCTTTCTCATTATGTAGTTAATAACAAAAGATATACTACAACCTTGTTGTTTCCATGTCACTTCTCACCTGTTTGATTGTGAGACATATTTTGTGTATCTAGACAACTTTGTGTCGGCGATTCTTTCTATTTAAAGTCATGCAGTGTGAAATCCCCTGTCGCCGATCTTTCTTGCCGTGTAAACAATGCAGCGATGAAACGCTTGCCCAGATAGTCATGTAGTGTGAATACATCTATGATGCAACTACTTTGAAAATCGTGCAGCTTGAACTCGGCATAAGAACAGCTAATTTTTTCAGAAGGTATGTTTTAACATATTCTGGTGTCACGACAGGCAAACACAAGCCATTAAGAATATCGCAGAAGAGCTTGACCCCACATTTCAAAGAAAAAACTCAGCCGATGATGGAAAAATCAATGGTGCTTTTATGTATAATTAAGTAACACTCATTACTTCTCCCATAAATATACATATAGCAAAAATGATAATCATGAGTTGTCTTGTATACAGGTCAAACTTCCCCACAGGCAGGCTCGTACAACCCATTGGATGAACCAACATTTGTTCCACCCACAAAACGACAGAGTGAAAAACTCGGACGAGTAAAGACCAAAGAGAAAAAAGAAAATGTGAAACAGAAAGAGAATTGCAAGCAGCAGTGATGCTGGACATGTGAAATGACCTGCATTAAATAAGTCATATATGCATGATATGCATGCTTGTCCCAACACTTGGGGATTTTCCAGTCTTCTGCTTTCACCAGTACTTGTTGGGATTCATTTGTAATAAACAAACTTGCAAAACAGGGGCACTCCAGATAATGCTGCTGTTACTAGCCAACATCTGTCATGCTGTATTTAGGTTTTCTGTTTCATTTTTGGTTTAGCAGCTGGCTAGAATGTCACCACAAAAGGGAAAGCTCCAATCTAACAGACAGTGCTGTTCAAAAAATGCATTCCTGTATGACTGGGAATATCAGAAATTATACTACGCTGAAGAAAAAGGAAGTTGACACACATTGTTGTCCAACATCCAAGCAGGCATTCTTTTACTATGGATTGTACTTTCCTCTTCTTGTATTCCAGGAACTACTTCAGCCTTAAAAAAAGTGTTATTTTCGTTTTTGTGTGTTGCCTTCAAGAACACGTGTGTTAGCTTCATGCTTTAAAATGTTTACTATTCTTAATATTATTACTGATAATATTTAGTAGTTTACAAGACCTGGAGTCTTGTTTCTCTTCTTCTGCCTCCTTTGTAGTGTACATCAGCATATTTTATATGCTTTACCAGGTTAGAGGAAATGAAACATTTTGTACTGATAAGTGCCATTTTTACACGTGTTTATTAGTGTCATTACATCAGTGTAAACAATGTGTTGTCAACAATCAGACCTTTAATGCTTGTATAAAGTAAAAAAAAAATCCTTGTACAGAAGATTAAAAAATCTATATAAATCCACTCATACTGTCAATATCCTTCTTTAGATTTAAGGAAACACATTTTGCATACTGTGTTGTGTGAATTTCCCAAATGCATGCAAATCTCAACGGGAAGCACCTTAACAAATTCCAGCAAATTCTCTTTCCACAAAATGAAACTTGAAAGGCTTAGTTTTTACGCTGTGCATGTGTTAGACATGCTCTTATAACAGGATTACCCTGTTAGGGTTTTACATGGTGACGCATTAAGTGACACATTCTTCAGAATGACCTTTTCAGACGCACTATTGCCACAGCTCTCGCCCACCAGCTGTTCCACCTAACCCTTACAGCTGTTATTTTTCAAACAGCGTGTCAAATCAATTATCACTATAAAGATATTTTTTTATTTTATTTTTTTGTGGATGCACCATGATTTAACTCAACATGTCAGCACTTGTTGTCAAGGTTTAGTAGGAAAACCAATCCAAGTGATTCATTGAAACCGCTTGATGTACTATAATCACACTAAAGGACATGTTAATGTTGCAGTCTTGTCACTAGGGAACTCCCGCTGAGTCACTCACCAACAGTGCATAATGATAAAGTTCAAGTTGCAATAGTAGATTAGAAGTGAATAGAATCTTTCAACTCGTCTTTAAGTGTTTATATTATTTGCAGAAGCAATACTCCCTTGAACTGGTTTTCTGACCTTAGCTTTCTGATAAGGTAAGCTAGAAATTTACACAAAAGGAAATTGTAGGAGATTCGCTGTCAGAGGATTTTGTCCCCAATAACCCGTTTAATGACCTGACTGTCTACTCTATGAACTCTGTCTTTACCTACAGGAATTCCCCAACACAGTTTTTCAGTGACCTCTGATGTTTTCTATAGTGATAAATATATATATACAATATACAGAACAGGTTTTGCTAAATAGTACAGTACCACAGTGTAGTTTGAATGTTTCTTATGAAATCACTGGATTACTGGTTTTTGCATGGTTAACCAAATGTGGGACACTTTGTTTTAAGGTTCAGTTCTCAGCGAAGTATTAACTATGACTTTTGCCTCAAATTCCTCATTTGCTGCTTATTAATAGTTATTAAGGTAGTAGGTGGGTTTAGGTATTGGTTAGGATTTAAGATTTTAAATTAGATCATGTACTTTTATAAGTACTAATAAGAAAACAGTTGCTTATTAACAGGAAGGTAGTAATAATTCTTTTAAACTACTCAACAAGAGACACTAGCTCATGTCAGTGTTATGTAATTAAGAGGAAATGTCAGTAGGAAATGTCAAACAAGTAGCGGAAACGTGATAACTTTTTTATTTTTTGTAAAAGAGATTTTCAGGGGTTTTTTTAAAGAGCACTTATGATGAAAATAATCTTTTAGAAGCTGTTTGGACAGAACTGTGTGTTGTAGGTACAGTATAGTGTGCCCACAGTCATATTGGGGTGATATAAAGACAATAAATCTCTTTTTAATTTCCTGGCATTAAAATAGGGTACTATTCCTGACGTTAAAATCTGTAGGGGTGCAGTTTGCCCGCCCACTGAATAAATAGACAGCCACATATTAACATGTCTCCGTAGTAACACGTATAATCAGATCAACAAGACAGGACGTGCTGAAGACAACCGGGATTAAAAGATCTGTTTAGCTCTTGGTGATCATCAGTCATCATCAAATGTAATCAAGAATGAGTTTCACAAGTTTAAAATGTTTTTAAAACAGTGCATGTATGTAATAAAGTAAGATAAAGTCGGTAAAATTGTTGTAATTCATCACTACAGCCGCATGTCAGTACAATTATAAAATAAGACGCTTTAATCCCGATTTGTGAACATTAAATCAGGTTTATTTTGTACATTAATATAACGGATATCCATACAGATGTTTTATTAACATGTATCCTGTCACATTTGCCATGCAAAAACAGTGCAAAGTTAAACGTGGGTGCTGTGTGTGTGAGCTTTGTAACAACATTGTGTGTCTCATCATTGCAGAAAGGCTTAAATTAACTCCACAACAAATACATCAAATAATCATTGGAAAAGTTCTTAGTGTAGTATTTCTCACAAGCGTTACGTGAGATCTGCTTCCTTTAAGTCGGTCACTGTGCTGTTTATCTGATGTTTATGTTAAATCTTGAAAACGGATAAAATAGGTGCCCTTTAAAGGTTGAATGTAGCATTTGTTCATTCAACTGTGATGACACAAACATGCAAATAAGAACTTTAACCAGGAATTTACAGATAGTTGTAAAAACTCAAAAAAATACCTATGATTAATTCTTAACTCATGAAAAAGACTGAAGAGCTGTTATGAATGAAAAATGAATGTCATTTAATTTAACTAAAACATGCACACTAAATTGTTAAACACAATGCTGTACATTTTGATGAGGTCATCTGTTGATTCTTCAGTGCACTTTTTAAAATACATGACTAGGTCTACCACATTTACCAACCAATTCCCAGACATACAACTGAATAAAAAAACTAAAAAAAAAAAAAAAAAAAAACAATTAGAAAAGCACAACAAGTTGTATAAAAAAAACCCACAATCTTCTCAGTTCTCAAAATTTTTTTGTGGGGTCAAAAAAGTGCTGTTTTGATCTGAATACTGGGAAAGCCCACCAGGGTATTTCAAGAGGGCTTTAACCTGAAATGTGATGCAAGCACCAGTAGATGACACCTACACTCTTAAAAATGATGACATACTGTCTGCTACTGCACACCTACATTAAAACCTCTGATCTGTGATTTTAAGGTGCACCACACTTCAGAAGTTCAGGCTCAACAAATTCAAACCTCTTTGTGTGCTTTGACACTTTTATTGTGTACATACACTAGTATGTCAAATGCCTTTCAAAGTATACTGCGGTTGATGGTGCGCAAACACAGCCACTCAACACTTGCATTAAATAGACCCATGTGCAGTGTTTGAGTATTCTCTCCCCAAATGAATTATAAAAATATATTTTGTGGATATATTTACATAAGTAATCATGAAAACAACTTGTTCATTTTCTATCTTCTCTTCTTCTGAGTATAAAACAACGGTGAAGTTCAGTGTGACAAACCAAGTAGTGCAAACAATAAAAAAAGTACTTTGTCAACAGCGAAGTACGCATACAGCATGTGAACAAAGTTAGCACCCTTAACACTAAGGTACACATAAAAACTGAGCTCTGCACTAAAGTCACCAAAACAGCAGATAAAGATTGTATTTTTTTTTTTTTTTTTTTTTAAAGCTTCGTTTTAGTGTAGCAATGCTGTCCAGAGGCCTGTTGCAGAAAGCCGGTCTGCTGTATGTTTGTGCTCAGTTTCGGGCCAAACCTCAACACCAAACAACTTCCCTACTCAAAGGATCAAGTCCCAAAGTGCCCGATATCCTTTGAAATCCTTCATTTCAGAGGACCCTTTTGAAGTGGCCAGCTTTGAACACCAGTTTGGTGTTCACTCTTCAATGTGGTGGCTTCAGAGGGTGGAATACACCGACAATCACAAGCTCTATCCCTGGGTTAACAGAGATTAAGGTTCGTGATACACCATGGAGTTTCAACTCATTTGTGCAACAGGCCTCAGTCACATCACACTATGAGTTTGGACTCTGAGTTTTCCGTATTGATGGATTGCGAGCTTCCACCCTGTTCCTGCTCAGGATGATGAAAACTACAGTGTTCTTGCTCCACCACCATAATCGTAGAGTCGTCTGAATTGCCTAAAAGAGAGGAATCGCAATACTGTCATTCTTACATTGTCATGATGGGTGGTTTTCTTCAAAAGAACAAAAAGTGGACACCGGTGTTTACCTTGCTCAGTTTTTGCCTTCTTTTTTGTTTTGTTTTGTGCCTTAACATATGCCACCACTGACAATATGATGCAAAGAAGAGCCAACCCTGCTATCATTGCTGCAATCAAAACTGGAAGCCAATTCATCTCGTCTTGAAGAAACCCAGAAAAGAAAGATGCTTAGAATGTGAAATTCAGTAAAAGGTACTTGATTTTATTTACGCAAACCTCATTTACCTTTTTCTTTGCTAATGACAGGCAATGTTTCTTGTTCAGTTACTGTGACAAACACATGATAATTAGATAATGTGCTATTATAACTTCTTATTCAATATTCTGTTCTCTATCCTTACCTGTTCTTACACTACTCGAAGGTGGTGGAATGCATGTGCTGTCACTGGTCAAGTTTCCTTTTTTCAATTTGTATCCATCTGGACAACTGCTGGAGAATAGATAAGAAACTTTACAATCACAGCAACATCAGATCACATTTCAGAGAAACTTTTTTTTGTTTGTTTGTTTGTTTTGTTACCTTTTTGTCCATTCTTTGCACGTACTGTGGATTTTATCGCTGAATTTTCCCTCAGGACATTGTCCACATACTCCTGCAAGAATTTAATTACAGAAAATAAATTGGCAGTGCAACAAAAAGCAAGTCATGTCCTGTTCGAGAGCTTCTTAAAGAGTCTTACGGCCTTTGGGCTCCTCTCCTTTTTTGCATTCAGTAACACAGTGAGAACATTTGGCATCTCCACACCGAAATCCAGGCTTGCAGCCGCATACGGTGTCACTGCTGCTTGTGCAGTTTTTAGCCACAAACTGTATGCCTATAATTAGATTATTGCATTGTCAGTCTGACTCAGTAAAATGAAATCATTCCTTCTGTTTCTGTCATTCACTTAGCCAAAATCTCAATGAGGATGCAAAATAGACTTTACCTATGCATTGGGTACAAATATCACAGCTGAAATCAGTTCCGGTTATGTAAGTGCCAGGTTCACATGGTTTACAGAGTTCTGCTGGGTCATATCCACATCTTTTCACCAAGCGGTTTCCTGTAGGAACAAGCAAATACTCAACCGTTATACACTACCTGACCAAAAAGTAGTTCATGAGTAAGTAACTATGAAATGCTGGATTTATATTGCATTGATTCATTTGTTTCTGCTTTTAAACTGTTAGTATTTCTTTTATTTTATTTCATATTTTGGCATTATATTTCCTTTAAATGTGCTTTTAAATTGCATTATGGGATCAAGCTTTTTTTCTCCAACAAATTTTGATGCTGAAAAGTTTGAAAAAGTAGTTTTGAAGATTCTGTAGATTCTGTAGAAAAAGTAGTTTTGACATTCTGTACACCTATAATCTGGGTTGGAGTTCTAAACTATTGTACAAAGAAACTGTAATAAGCTTCCAGTACTTTATTTGTTACAGACTTGCGTCTTTACTTATTATTTATTTTATTTAAAACTATTAAAAATGTCAACAAAAGTCACTTTTTGTTCAAATACATTGTTGAATTTTCAACATTAAAAGTGAACATAGCATAAAGATCCCAGAGAGCTATTCATAACCTTTTAATAGACAAGAAAAAACAACTGAATCACACAATACAGAACACATTTTAAAATGTGGCATCTTTTAGCTTTTTAACTCTGATGCAATGTGTAGCTTTTTTGTTTTTTTAAACGAGCATGCTCAAGGACATATCCTGTTGGTATATACTGTATCCATATATATGCACTACTGGTCAAAAGTTTGGGGCTAGTAGAATTTTGAAATGTTTTAAAATAAGCTTCTCCTATTCAACAAAGCTGCATTTATTTCATCAAAAATATAGAACAAATTGTAAAATTGTGAAATGTTATGGCACTATTAACTGTACAAAAGTGATTTCTGTTCCAGTGATTTTAGGGATGAATTTTCAGCCTCATTACTCCAGTCTTCAGAGTCACATGATCCTTCAGAAATCACTCTAATATTAATTATTACTGTTATTATTAATAATAATGTCAATAGTAATAAAAGTGATTATGACTAGAGTTTATTACATATCATCAGAGTTTATTACATACATAGAGAAATTACATATCATAATAAATAAATATTTAAAAAAAATTACATTTAATAAATGCCGCCTTGATGAACAGAATCATTTAAATTAAATTAATAATAAATACATTTTAAAAAAACTGACTCCAAATGTATGACCGGTAAAGAGAGATTGATAGATATTCAATCCTAAAACTAATATACAGCAACCACTGACATCCATAGTAGAAACAAAGTATATACTGTTATTTACTACATTCTTCAACATATCTTTGTGTTCAACAGAAGAACGATACTCAAACAGGGTTGTGATAGAGTAAATGATGACAGAATTGTGATTTTGGGGTAAATATAATAGTAGGTTTTTTTTTTTTTTTGTGGGGGAAAAAATCACTATTAATTACATTTGCCACACAAAATAAGATTTGCTTCTTTGAAACGACACCAAATATTTAAATCAGAAGTACAGATAATGAAAGTGATCATATCAGGTATGCTCAAGAAATATTGAGCAATAAATCGGGACAACCCTTGTGTGATCTGAGGATGCTGTAGTCATCTTTATGCAATGACAATTCATGGATTTCCCTTTGAGAACAAAACCGCATTCCTCTCAATCAAGTTTCACAATGACCTGAAACTTCTGTCACTAATGTGTAATTTCAAAAACATTAATCTATTTTCTGTATTCCAATAGCAAGTTACGAAACTCTACTTCATATAGAGGTGTTGTAAGATGCCAGATATCTTGTAAACTTACATAACAATACACATTACTCTGAGTTCTTGTATCAGTACCTGGTTTACAGCTTGTGCAGCAGACATAATTTTTTCCTGAAGGAGTCCAGTTCTGACAGCCAACATCTACACCTACTGTCAAATTCAGCACTAGACTGAATATCAGCAAGCTATACAGTCCTGGAAAACCAGCCAGCATTTTTGCCTAAACACACACATACATACATACATACATACGCTTTACATACATCAGACATTAAAAACTGTCAGCAGTGAATCTGTTACATTTTACAAGGTATGTGTGTGTGTATATATATATATATATATATATATATATATATATATATATATATATATATATATATATATATATATATATATATATATAAAGAATTAAAATGCATTGTTTGAATTAAAGAATGAGCAATAATATCATCTTACTGTTTGAGTGTAGTGGTCCTGATTCGTAGCAAACGCTCACTGACAAGGATTTCCCTTTCATGATTTAAATAGGCTAAATGGGGGGCGTGGTATTGTGGCAAGGCGGTCATAGCCTCGAGCACTGCACAGTGACTGAGCTGGAGGAAGACGATATTTGTGCATTTTAGAACTCCGTCAAGCATCAATCCGAAGGTCTATCCGTTTCTGGGATGCTAATAGATGCGTCTCAAGTGCAGTGTAATGCTAGCACAAAGGCATCTCGTTTGTTTAAAATTTGTCACAGACCGTTTTAAGATCGTGATTGTGCGTTTCTTTGTTCTGTCTCCATTTCAACACTTTTCTTCTCACATAATTTCATGTCGTGCTTTGTAGTGTTGCCGCGAAATATTAGATAAAGGACATTGTCAATAGACAGACTCGTTATATAAAGTGTAAAGTGAAGACTTGATGCATTGTTTGTTTTGTTTCGTTTCGTTTTGTTTTTGATATTGGAATGTACATTTTTGTCAATGACATTTACGAATTTGTCTTTCTTTGCCAGTGATATTGTGTTTGACATAAAGTATAGGCTTTTTTAGGCTTAATTGATCAGTCCTAGATTGTAAAATTCAGTCTGGTAAAAGTCTGGTATGTATTCTCTGTGTTTAACATCTTAATGTTTTCTTTTGATGTGATTAAAAGGATGTTAGGGATTTAAAAAAAAAAAAAAAAAAATATATATATATATATATATATATATATATATATATATATATATATATATATATATATATATATATATATATATATACTGTGTTGTGTAATCAATAACATCAGTCAAATTTACAAAAAAAAGTTCAAGATTTCCATAACCTACTCTAAATATAGATTAACGAATAAATAAATAATGAAGGCTCAGATAGATAGATAGATAGATAGATAGATAGATAGATAGATAGATAGATAGATAGGTAGATAGATAGATAGATAGATAGATAGATAGATAGATAGATAGATAGATAGATGTTGACTTTTGCCAAAATAATCCTTCATTTATAATCAATGATACATCATAACTTGTGTCATGACTCATAAGCATCACCTTTTGCCTTGTCACCCACATTTACAAAATCAATGACACAGCAACTTCCTTCACTCCTTAATAATGTCCTTTTCTATAAAGGTTTGAGCCGCAAAAGGTTTAAAAAAAATAGCAAAAGCTATCATTTTAAGAGTCAGTTGACAATTGAATCATTATTCTAGTTTATGACTAAGCTTTTTCCTTTCTTTTTTTAACAGAACTGTGGAAAATGCTTTTAAACAAAATGTGATCCCTGTTCATTTAAAACATGAATCAACTTTAAAGGCATTCTTAGGAGAACTTTTTGTAATAAACTTTAACCACAAAAACAATCTAAGTGTCTAGCCCTTAAATGCCGTATCTTAAAGTATGTCCAATGCAGTAGCCTATGTTTTATGAGCTTTTTAGACAATACAAAGAATCCAGTTAATGTATGTATGCATGTACTGTATGTGTATGTATGTGTGTATACATATATATATATATATATATATATATATATATATATATATATATATATATATATATATATATAAAATAGGAATTGCTCATATATATGATATATACAAGCAATTAGAATATATATATACATATATATATATATATATATATATATATATATATATATATATATATATATATATATATATATATATATATATATATATATATATGTATGTAGGCGACGCAGTGGCGCAGTAGGTAGTGCTGTCGCCTCACAGCAAGAAGGTCGCTGGTTCGAGCCTCGGCTCAGTTGGCGATTCTGTGTGGAGTTTGCATGTTCTTGCGTTCGTGCGGGTTTCCACCAGGTGCTCCGGTTTCCCCCACAGTCCAAAGACATGCAGAACAGGTGAATTGAGTAGGCTAAATTGTCTGTAGTGTATGAGTGTGTGGATGTTTCCCAGAGATGGGTTGCGGCTGGAAGGTTATCCGCTGGGTAAAAACTGCATAAGTTATCGGTCATTCCGCTATGGCGACCTTGGATTAATAAAGGGACTAAGCCCATAAGAAAATGAATGAATGTATATACACACAAACAAACACACATACAAATACATACATACACACAAATATGAACAGCACACGGCAGTGAAAATGAAACCAAAAGCATGCACATCATTTAAATAATCATATCGCATTTTACAGTAATGATTGCGACAAGCATTTGATGTTTTTTCTTTCATAGCGTACACAAGGTGTTGTACATGAAAATAAATGTTTTCAGTGTCAGTATAACTACTCTAGCCTATGTAATGTTGATTTTATACATACATACATACATACATATATATATATATATATATATATATATATATATATATATATATATATATATATATATATATATATATATATATATAAAGTGTTTGCATATATATATATGTATGTATGTATGTATACACACACACATAAATATTCCACAGAGATTTTTGATCCATATTGACATGATAGCATCAAACAGCTGTTGCAGATTTGTCGGCTGAAGATCCATGATTTCCCGCAGCATCACATCCCAAAGGTGCTCTATTGATCATTGATTGATCATTTGTCTGCCATTGACCATCATATAATGATTCAAAGTCTTTTTAAAGTATACTTTTGTGGTTGCCTAACCTGCACATGGCTCTGTTCTGAAAATTATAACTAAAAAATATGGAAGCATGTTATTTTCGAATATGAAAAATGTCCAATTAATTAGCTGAAATACATTAGTAACAAATTGCAGTAAAATGTAAAACAATTCATGAGCAAAGGCCGAAGTGTTTTGTTCATTAAAATAGTTTGCGACATCAGTGATTAATAAGCTGTATGGTTCAAAAATTGGAAGTTTTGACTTGTTAAAGTCACAATGCCCAACATTAAATGGAAAAAAGTTGACGGCAATTGTTGTATGAATCGTTGTCTAATTGTAGGCATATATTATATAAAAATAGCAGCCCTATTAAATTATTTCGCCAAATATTAATCAAAATATAATTATTCTGTACATTAATATTAATGTTGATTGTCAACAAAACCTAGTTTTTACATACATTAAATGTGGCAGAGATTTGTTTAGGGCAGCTTATGTTCACATCTTTCTAATTCCATTCAGAGTGCTTTGCTTGTTCTCAAGTTTTCTCCTACAAAATATGTGCTTGCAGCATTCTACTTCTTGGAAAACTTTTGAGCTTAGTACAGTAAATGATAAAAGACAAAGGTTTAGCAAGTTGTAAAATGAGGAAATGGGATTGATTAAAATTATTTAAAGTTTTGCTTCACATGTACTGAAATTCAAACTCTCCTCCAGCTCCCCTCACTGAGGCAGTTGTATCTAAACTTTCTTAACTTTAAATAGTCAGGGTTTAAAACATCACCATTCAACTGAGACTTGTCTGAGAATTACTTCTTGGCACTGAGGCCTGAAGCTTATTTCAAACCATCAATCCTCTTTGTGTTAGATCTGTCTGCTTCCTTCAACATCACCAGATCCTTCTTTCCACCCTTCGGGCATAACTAGTCTGCTACACTGGTTTGAATCTTACCTCACAGGTAGGTCTTTCATCATTGCTTGGAAGAGGGAGAATTTCCAAAGTTCATCAACTGTTCATGAGGTGCCTCAGGGATTATTTCTTGGACCTCCTTTTTTTTTCATATCATTTACATCAGTAGGGATGGAAAAATCATCACATGGATGGAAAAATGGATGGAAAATCATCACATGCATCTTAACCTGGGACAGACAAAGCTTCTTGTCCTTTATGCCACTCAGATTAAGAATAGTAAGAGTTGTTGGAAACTTGTAAGCAATGACCCAGTGACAACTTTGAGCAGAATTCTTCATGGAATACTTGCTGCGTGATGGTGCTGTCACCAAATTTAAACTGCTGAAGCTAAACCTTAGTTTTATACTCATTTTAGGAGGATGTCCTTGCAAGTGAAGATAGAACCCACAAGGAACAATCCTAAACAAAGCATGCGAGGTTGTAAACACTCACAGAAATAGCGATAAGTCAAAAACCCAGACTCTTATGACCATAAACACTTCAGCTTTAAAGACTGGGGGAGGGTCATCAAAAGGACATGGCAGAGGGTGTAATACTTTTTGGAGAACAGGAGCCTTTGCTTCATGTTTTCATTTGTTTGATGTTTTTTGTCTTCACATTCAAAGGCAACAGTAGTTTTTTGATGTTTTCATTCATTTGTTTTCTTTTCGGCTTAGTCCCTTTATTAATCAGGGGTCGCCACAGCGGAATGAACCGCCAACTTATCCAGCATATGTTATACGCACCGGATGCTCTTCCAGCTGCAACCCATCACTGGGAAACATCCATACACACTCATTCACACACACATACACTATGGTCAATTTTATCTTAACCAATTCACCTATACTGCATGTCTTTGGACTTATGGGGGAAACCGGAGCACCCAGAGGAAACCCACGCAAACACATGCACATGCAAACTCCACACAAAAAACGGCAACTGACAAGCCGGGACTCAAACCAAACCAGCGGTCATTTTTGATGTGACACGATTGTGCTACCCACTTCGCCACTGTGCTGCCCGTTTTGTGATGTTATGTCAAGAAATGTGTAATCCCACAGCCTCACCATTTTACAAAGATTTCCATTTTTCATACAGCAATCTTGAGGCAATCTTTGTTCTCTAGCTGACTTTCAAAAACCACATCTAAGCTGGTCTATTCAGTGCTCTTCTGGCTGAACTTCCTTCATGCGTAATCAAATCACGTCACACCACTCTTTATCTCTTTGAGCTGCTACTAGTTGCAGCTTTTATCCAGCTCAAGACTTCAACACACTACTCCTACTCCTACTCACTTTTATGAGAGTGCATCTCCACCAGAATCCCTAATGATTCCCAAAAACCCAAAAATGATCACAGAGGTATCACACAAATCAGAAAGGGAATGATCCTCCTGACCACATCTTTATTCTGAAAACTCAGCACTTAAAGGAATAGTTCACCCAAAAATGAAAATTCTGTCATAATTTACTCACCCTTCAATTGTATCCAACCTTTAAGAGTTTCTGTAGTTGTTACTATTGACTTCTGTTTTATTTGTGTTACCAGGCCAGTATAAAACCAACCCATAATCCCCCAATAGCTGCACTAGACCCACTCAGGTTCATTCATTCACTCTCTTTTCGGCTTAGTCCCTTTATTAATCAGGGGTCGCCACAGTGAAATGAACTGCCAATCTATCCAGCATATGTTTTACACAGCGTATGCCCTTCCAGCTGCAACCCATCACTGGGAAACACCCATACACTCTCATTCACAAACATATACTACGAACAATTTAGCTTAACCAATTCACCTATAGTGCATGCCTTTGGACTTGCGGGGGAAACCCATGCAAACTCCCCACAAAAATGCCAACTGACCCAGCCGAGGCTTGAACCAGCGACCTTCTTGCTGTGAGGTGATTATGCTACCCACTGCGCCCAAAAAAACATGCAAAAAACACAGGTACAAGACCCAAAGACA